AACTACAAATATTGTTATCGATAGATTATAGAAATGTATTAAAACAACGAAAGTTTTTTATATTGTTTTACAAGTTCAGAATGAATATTTCGTGGTTTCGATTAAGACAATAATTCATTTGTATGCATTCAAAAAAGTTAATGACTAAGAATGATATCATTGAATAAGAGATTACTGTTCGATGTATGAATATTGGTGATAAATACACCAATATTCATAGTCATGAAGTTTTGTTGAAATTCTTATTAAGAATTTCTTAATATGAAGTGAACATAAATAACAGTTCGCATCGTATTATATTTTATAAAAGTCATGTTCTTAGTAGAGTAGTAAAATGTCAGTGAATAAATAGAGTTTAATTTATCAATAAGTCTTAACAATGTAAGAGAACGCTAACATTATCCGAATCACGATTTGCAACAATAATATCTGGTTTATTATCATTATTCACATCGATGACTACTACAGAGCATGGATAAGAACCAACTGGATAAGTAGCTTGATTCAGAAAGGTGCCATTGCCTGCATTGAGAAGCACACTGGTGGTGTTCGAACCAGAGTTTGCAACAATAATATCTGGTTTATTGTCGGTATTCACATCGATGACCGTCACCGAGCGTGGGTTAGAGCCAACCAAATAAGTAGCTTGATTCGGAAAGGTGCCATTGCCTGCGTTGAGAAGAACGCTGATGGTATCTGAATCAAAGTTTGTAACAACAATATCTGGTTTATTGTCGCCATTGACATCAACAATTGCTACTGAAATTGGACTATTGCCAACTAAGTAAGTAACTTGATTTAAAAAGGTGCCATTGCCTGCGTTACGAAGAACGCCGACGGTATTCGAACGTTGGTTTGCAACAATAATATCGGGTTTATTATCGTTATTGACATCGACAACTGCTACTGAAAATGGACTATTGCCAACTGAGTAAGTAACTTGATTCAAAAAGGTGCCATTGCCTGCGTTACGAAGAACGCTGACGGTATTTGAAACATAGTTTGCAACAATAATATCGAGTTTATTATCGTTATTGACATCGACAACTGCTACTGAAGCTGGATCATTGCCAACTGAATAAGTAGTTTGCTGTAGAAAGGTGCCATTGCCTACGTTGAAAAGAACACTAACGTTGTTCGAATCAGAGTTTGCAACAATAATATCGGATTTATTATCTTTATTCACATCGGCAGCTGCCGCTGAATATGGAGAAGAGCCAACTGAATAAGTAGTCTTCTGTACAAAGCTGCCATTGCCTACGTTGAGAAGGATACCGACGTTGTTCGAACCATAGTTTGCAACAATAAGATCGGGTTTATTATCACTATTCACATCTACGACTGCTACCGACCGTGGATTATTGCCAACTGGATAAGTAGTTTGATTGGAAAAAAGGTTGCAGGCTATCAAAGACAAAAATTCTTTTTTACATGTCGGGTTATGTAAAAACAAAATCTCATCGTTGAATTATAAAGGATTTGCACAACGTTGTTTTAGTTGGCACTAAGATGATGCGCAGAACCGTGTAATTGTTTTGAAAAATTTTCAGTACTCTCAAGTCTAACTTAAATAATCTTGAGAATGTGGGTGTATCTTCTTTATTTTACCCACACCCACACCCTCGCTGAAGTTATTAGAAACAAAGAATACTGCCATAATTGCAATAGATCGCAAAAATGATATTTATTTAAAACAGTCTATTAGTAGTGTATCTATTTCAAAAATATTGACTTGATACATGTTAAGAAACTACTATACTTGGATAAAATTTTCATTTCAGACTGGCATATGCTACTACTAAAAGATATTGGATCGAACAGTGGCTCGTTGAGACTTACTCTATGCGATGCAACAGCGTATCAAAATATTAAATTCTGTTTGTATTACATTATCTCCTAACACTGATAAAAAGATAATACGGTCTTTCATAGTATGTTAAAGCTATGCTTATCAGTTTACAGACTTACTTCTTAGTTTAGTCGATGTATAGACGAGAATAAAACAATAAAGCCTAGACGATCATGGGTACTTATAAACCACTAACTACTAACTTCAGTTGCTCTAGATCGAATAACAATCATTATCGAAGCATACTTCACAGATTAAGGTAAACATTCTTCTGTGTCGAAAAACGACAACGACATAACGAGTTATCAGATGTTTGAAAAAAATACGATTGGACTAACGTAAGCACTAGGTATCAAGTCCAGCACTCACCACTAGTTGTTGTCCTTGTTGTTGTACTTGTTGTTGTCGTTGTCGTTGTCGTTGTTGTTGTTGTTGTTGTTGTTGTTGTTGTTGATGCGACACCTAAAACAAACAAAGTTTCAGTAAATTCATCACTTCAAGAAATATATAAATCACACCTTGAATCGAGCTCGTTACCACATTTGAAATTGATGTTGTTTCTTGATCTACAGTTGAAGAACATGTTGGAATTAGTTCTAAGAAAAAAATCACATAGCTTCATTTATTGTATTCTACAAAAGATGCATATCTTACGATGATCGTTTTTGTAACAAATAACAGTTGCAGAAGTATTTTCCGATGATTTTATTGAATCTTCGTTACAAGGTTCTGCAAACGTTGAACAAATATTTTCATTTGTGAAATAAACTGCTGTTTGACAATAATACGCATTAACACATGTACGAATACATTCGTTAATTGATGAGTGATTTGGTATTGAACTATTAGCAATAAAAGAACAGGAAATATTCGATTGATAAATCGATTTCCGATAAAGTTCAACGGTTACAAGAGAATTTATCATAGGAAGAAGTAAATAAATCAAAATCATATACATGTTTTATTTAATGTTGTCGCGATGAAATGTTCACTCGATTTTAAAAGACACTTCTTATAATAAAATGCGTATGTGAACATTTGCATTCTTATTTGTGTAGAAAAGTCAATAAGATAATATTGGACAAAATTCTTTGTTCCTTAAATAAATTCTTTCATCAAACATACTAGACTTTTTCTTCCAAGTTAGTTGACTATGAAAAATTATAAATATTAGTAATTTTGGACTTTTATTTCAAAATATTTGTTTTTTCAACAAACGGCATCTTATTGACAGAGTAATGACGTCAATAAACATTTAACTACACTTTAACGGACAACAATTTTGTTGAGTAATATCTCCTCTCTTTTCTTCAAAATTCTATTTAGGCAAACATACAAAAGCAAATCAAATATGAATAAAAACTTGTTGTAATTTTATGTAAAATAAATAAATTGAGAAAAGACCAGAATCGTTGTAGATTTTTCTTCGGACGACCTTGTGACTAAAGCCATTTTTCTAAATTATTCAATTGTCCCATATATTCAATAGCATAAGCAGGGTGTGGGTGTGTGTGGATGGGTGTGAGTCTGGGTAGATGTGTGTGGGTATGATTATCTCTACTCTTAATCCATAACCAAATTTACATCTACATCCACATCCACACCCACACTCACACCCTTCTCACTCGTCTTTTTTTATTTTCAATAATTTGAATTCTATTTTCTTTTCATTCATTTAATCAAAAATAAGTAGTAATTTTTTTCACAATATACCTTGTTTTTTTGTCGAGGCTATCATTCGTTTTATAGAATTATGCACATAATAAGAACATAAAATATAATCACTTTCTAAAATACAATAATTAAGCTGATCAAATTATTTGACAAAAAAGGGCGTAGATGATAAAAATTGATTTGTTTCAACATATTATTGAACTATTCATCTCTGATTTTCTTGTGAACGATTATTCATACGGTATTATCATGTATGAACTCGCTCTCGTCAAGATACATGTGGTTAGTAACAAGCAATGATTAATATTCTTCACATCTGTATTTATATCCATTCAGTTGTTAAAATAATGATCTGTCTTTTATCAATCATGACTCTTTTTCAATAACCGCTATATAATATGACTTTGAGATGTTACTGCAACTCATATATTATGTGGTGAATGATAATTTATTAAGAAATGTGAATGATTAAATAGTTTGATTATATATAAAAGAAATTATGATTCAGTTCAGAAAAGAAAATGTCATTTCGCTTATATTCATTAATAAAGCTCGGCACTATTGAGATAAGCACCGCTGTTCTCTCCACCAGCAACTAATACCGATCCATTTGCTAATGTGGATGCTGTGTGATAGTATCGTGCGATATTCATGCTTCTTGTAGTTGTCCAACTACCTGTTGATGGATTGTACAATTCAACACTATTAAGAGCAAGACCGTTCCATCCACCAGCAACTAATACTGATCCATTTGATAATGTGGATGCTGTGTGATAGGCTCGTGTGCCACTCATGTTTCCCTTGGGTGTCCATGTGCCTGTTACTGGATTGTACAATTCAGCACTATTAATAAGACTATTGTTGATGTCTATTCCACCAGCAACTAATACTGATCCATTTGCTAATGTGGATGCTGTGTGAGAGGATCGTGTGCCACTCATGCTTCCTATGGTTGTCCAAGTGCCTGTTGCTGGATTGTACAATTCAGCACTATTCAGATGAGCACTGTTCCATCCACCAGTAACTAATACTTTTCCATTTGCTAATGTGGATGCTGTGTGATGTGTTCGATCAACACCCATGTTTCCTGTAGTTGTCCAAGTGCTTGTTGATGGATTGTACAATTCAGCACTATTAAGATAACCGCTGCCGTATCCACCAGCAACTAATACTGATCCATTTGCTAATGTGGTTGCAGTGTGATATCCTCGTGCGGTACTCATGTTTCCTGTGGTTGTCCAAGTGCCTGTTGATGGATTATATAATTCAGCACTTTTGAGAGGACCGGTATTAAGTCCACCAGCAACTAATACTAATCCATTTGCTAATGTGGATGCTGTGTGATATTCTCGTGCAACACTCATATGTCCTGTTATTATCCATTCTAAATAAGGCAGAACAGTAATAAAAAGAATACTGCTGTTAAAATGACTTCGAGTTTCTCATATGCATAAGTTGTCTTTCAACTACTGACATATTGAATGATTTCAAACCTTCAATAAACTTCTCTTTCTTTTCATGATTAAGATAAGATTCATTATGAAATGTGAAATCAAATTAATGAAAAATATGTCACAAACGATTTCATTGATTCTTTTCGAGTTCTATCGATGTTGCGAACTGATGAAATTTAAACACTCTTCTACAATTCAGTTATGATGAATAATGATCGAATTTTACACTTTAAGTAAAAATCTTTCTACATCGTTCAACATAGTGAATACGAAATATACTTTGACTATGGTGAATGCATGGTGTGTGTATGTATGCGTCAGGTTGTGACTATGAGTAAAAGAATACAATTCTCTCATCGTTATCATGAGAAAATCAGCACACTAAGGGTTAATTAATGATGACGAAAGATATCTTTTTCGCGGGTTCGAAGCTTGTATTTAATATTTCTACGATATTTTTTTGAATTACTCAACTCTTTACAAATGCGACCTAAAACGTGAGATTAGATGTTGATAGACATGCTTCATGTCGATATTATGTCAACTGGTACTTGAACATGTAGAATTGTTCAAATGATCTCGAGAGTGGGTAGATGTGAGTGATTACTAAAATAATCAATGAGTTCTATCCTATGAATATTTTTTTTATCAACAATATTTTCGTCTACTACTGTTGGAGATGACAAGAATATTCAATACTTAAATAAATGTAAATCGAATCAAATCATCAGAAACGGACCCTGTTTCGACTTCTAATAGGAAATGTTCCCTAATGTTGTCTATTTAGAGAATGCATCCTATTCCGCGATGTTGAACATTGAAGGAATCAGTTCCGCACCGGAATCGATTCCGTCCAATTCCGGGAATTCGATCGACACACAACATAAGACACCCAGTCGAGATTGATCGAGTTCGACCGATTTCGGAATTACACGGAATTCCCGCCAATTCCCACCGATTTCGGAATTATACGGAATTCCTACCAATTCCGGAATTGGACGAAACTCGATCAATTTTCGAGTGGGTATCAGATATTATGTGTCGATCGAGTTCCCGGAATTGAACGGATTCGATTCCGGAGCGGAACTGGTTCCTGAAATGTTCAACATTGCGGAATAGGATGACTGCTCTCTATTTAGATTGCGATCATTCAATAGTTAAAATCATAACCTTAAATATCGTCACGTCTATTCATCATTCTTAGTATTACTACAAATGATTTAAGATAGTACTTACGCGGCATTGCTGTTGTTGATGCTGTTGTTGATGATATAGTGGATATTGTTGTTGATGACGTAGTGGATGTTGTTGTTGATGACGTGGTGGATGTTGTTGTCGTTGTCGTTGTCGTTGTCGTTGTCGTTGCCGTTGTTAATGCGATACCTAAAACAAACAAGGTTTCAGTAAATTCAACACTTCAAGAAACAGGTAAATCACACTTTGTATCGAGATCGTTTCCACACTTGAAATTGATGTTGTTTCTTGATCTACAGTTGAA